AACTGCCTTAAATTTGGGCCCAACCCCTCTATTAGGTTTGGCAATGGGATGGAAGACCTAGCTCATTTGGCTAGGCCCAGGGCCAACATATGTGGCCCTATATATGTTGGCCTTGTAAGGCTGGGTTTTCAGGGCCCATCCGGACCTCAAATAAACAAAGGCCAATCTTGCCTGGGTGTGCTAGGGCATTGGTCTTCTGGGCTGGCCCACACCTAGGGAGAGCTGCCCATTTTAACATAGGACCCACTTGGGTTTTAAAACTTGGTGATCCAGATCGAGAATTATTGATCCAGATCAGATTCAATAGGTGGGCAATCCAAATATTAATGGAACCGCTCAGTAATTTTTTAATAATGTTTTAATGAATTGACTGATCCAGATCAATTCAATGAACAAGCGATTCCTAACCCGATTAAGAGTTTTAAAACAATGGGACCCACTGACCAAAGATGCATCTATCCGATTGTATTTGGGCCAACAGACTTATCAAGCAAAGGCAAACGAGCACAAGATTTATGAACTCCACCACCAGCACCACCACCAAAGCAAGCCATGGGAGCTAAATTATAGTGGAATTCAATGGAGAGAGTGTCAATGTCAAATGGTCCTTTCACCTTTGATCGAATTCTTTAGTGAACGAGCCATTACTTTATACATCAAAAGTATGAGCCTTTTTCTTTTTCTAAAAGGGCGGTCTTTATGGCTTAAAAATAAAGGGCTGAAAGCATGTGTCAGAATAATGGATATGTTGGCTTGGCAATCAATTTAATTATTAATGCTCCAAATATTGGTATGTGAGGGTTTTCCCTATCTCACGTGTAACTCCTTTGCATTATATAATTGGTTTTAAGAAAGGGGATGGGTCGTGGCCGTAGTACCTCATGTCTAGTTACCACGTTGTGGTTTTTATTTTTCTTAACACCACCCACCGACACTTTCAAAACAATTAACTCCTTAATTTATATTAAAAAAATGGATAGAGGCCTATCTTCCCCATTGAATTATCCAAAAAAATAAGGCGGCCTCGGCGTAATCCAATCTAGTATTATGAGCCCTCAAGCCACCCCAACACCCCTCCACCCCCAGAGACCCCAAAAAGAAAAAAAAAGAAACATACACACACATTTTAAGGATTGAGGACCAAAAGAAAAAAACTCGTAGAACCTTTTATGCCCTAAAAAATTAGATCTAAAGCTCCTAAGATGCTGCAAATTTCAGATATCTAGCGCTCATTGAACAGGACATTCCACAACATATGTTACCCCCCCTCCCTGCCCCCCTTATTTATTTATTTATTTTTTTATTTTTATTTCGGTTTCATGATCGAGATCTTGGAGGTGAAGAGGTCCGATCCAAAAAAATTGGGGACCTCAATCCATTTTTTGTATATTTTTTAGTGGGGGCACCGCACAGTAATTTGGTGTTGCTAGGGCCGTGTCCGAACCAAATCCATTCAATATCAAAGGAAAACATCAAGATTTAAATAAAATAAGCAAATTAAACTACTAAAGAAAATGACTAAGGCTTAATATCATCCACATAAATTTTCATTGAATAGTATACGCTAAATACCATAGTTGAAACTTGACAAGTAATACCATAGTTGCAACTTGACAAGTCATTTAAAGGGAACATCGATGGCACATGACAATGTCACTAAAATTTTGAGGGCCCCAAAAGGATTAGGAATTCATAAAAATCAATACAATCTATAAAAGAAATGAGGGTGGAACATATCCTAACATGTACAGTATGGTATCAATACGTGTCTATGTAACTGCCCAAAATGGTAAAAGAAAACTACGAAAAAACTGAATTGGGACACAGGTAAAAATCTTCCACAATTTTCAAAAACCCCAGATACTGTGAGCATCTAGAAGACCAAGAACCATCACAAAGTGTATAGAGAGAAACTGAAATTCCACAATTAAAGATCCACAGATTTGTTTCATGTTCTCTATCAGTGAGATGATGTCGAATTAATGACTAAAATCTCCCTTCGGAACTGTATTTTTTTAGCAAGATTTTCGAGAAATGTGAACTTCCTTTCGAGATAAGCTAGGCTTCGCTCCGTGGTGTAACTAGGTCCATAGCTGATGCTTCCTTAGTCTCCCCTAAACACGAGATAACCAAATTAATCTTTTGATTAACAATGGCATGAAAACTCGGCCATGACCCGGACCTCAACCGACCCGTCGCCACCCCTACAATCAAGTACAGAATCACTTGGAAGCCAACTTCATTCATAAAAGAATCACTAAAGCAATGATGATGAAAGCATCAATAAGGACTTCTCTCCATTAAATCAGTGAACACCACCATGTTTTGCATATATGAGTTCTGAAAAATAGACTTACTATGTTTCGACTAGACTCAGAGACACAGGATGCTCCCATTCCTCGAAGTATTAAACGACATTGACAAAGACTTTGTGTCATGCAATTGAGGACAGATGGACTCTTAGAATGAAACTGAGCCCAGTGAAACTCTCATGATTTTGCATGCTCTCTTGAACCTTATGGGAACAACTGATTCGCCTTTTATGGTGCGAAAGTCAAATACCTGATTGCGAAAATAAGAGTAAAAATTTTCACAAAAAGAGGTTTGAAATAGAAAGGAATCCTGCAGGTTTACTGATAGTTGCAGCCAGAACTTGACATAAATTTCAGCTCTCTGATAATGGGAAAACTGATTTATGAATCCAAAAGAGAGGACACAGTAAAATGTTCAACACAATTTTAAAATGAAACAAATTTGAAAGAGTCCCCGACTCATTGATAAACACATATAGAGCTTCAGTAGTGTTGTGCATCGATGAGACATGCGGAATTCCTTGTTCTTCGCGATTCGTTGTCGGAGTCTCCAGGACTTTGTTTAAGTTGGTCTGCAACACCACTTAATCCTAATGAAAACTAACGCAGAAACATTTGAGTCCCAAGTTAGTTAGGGGCATAAAACTAAATTTACAATCAGCAACCTTATATAAAGAACTTTGAAAAACTGTTTCAAGAGTTTCCATGACATTTGATTTTGTTCTAATGCTGAGGTTGAATATGATGAAATCATGACATTATCTCTTGTATTTAGGTTTTCTTAGGTATTTGGAACATCCCACTTTTCGTCATATCAGCTTTATCTTAACTATTTGAAGTAAGTTATATGAATTCTATTTCATCGTATTCCAACCGTACCCTCCGTCACTTACCACTTTTCGTCGTATCAGCTTTATCTTAACTATTTGAGGTAAGTTATATGAATTCTATTTCATCGTATTCCAACCGTACCCTCCGTCACTTATATTTGGTATGTACCCTTTTTTTTGTCACATATGATACAACATAGTATCTAGAATAAACGTTGGCTAGATAAGAAGGCCTTATGAAAATTGCAAGGAGCACTACAAATATTATTGGGGTTTTGATGGGGCCTGGAGGACCATGAGTGGAGCTCCCACCATGCATTGTGTGGGCGTTGAGCATTCTCTTAGTCCAAGGTCTTCTCTCCAATCATGGACATGGAAGTAGAACCATGGCCTTTTTTATTGATAGGATCTAGGGGTGGCAATGGTCAGGTCCAGGTGACGTAGGTCAGGTATGGATCTAGCATTTAGACTTGGCGGGTCAGGTCCGGTTCGGGTCCAAAACTTGGACCTGAATACTATACGAGTATGGGTTTAGGTTCAGTTAGATCCGACCCGTACCCGTAAATTGTTAGAAGTAAAATACTTTACTTTAAGTTGTATTCATTTGGGTCATTAAGGATCATACATAATTAGAACTAGTAGTCATCTTTAGTTATTAAACGATAAATCACACAGCTTGAAATTTAATATTGGTTTATTGTGACCTTGTTGCCAATAATACGGGTATATAACAGAAAAAAAAAAGCAAAAAAAGAAAAAAAGAAGAAGTTAATAGTGAGTGTGACAATGGACCCGAGACCCAATGGGGTAGACTCAAGACCTGTCGGGTGCAGGTATTGGTCCAATTTTTGAACCCGACGGGTCGGGTTCAGGTCTAGCCCATACCTGACCCGTTACCATCCTTAATAGGATCAAGATAAAAGTTGAAGAGAGAGAAACCCAATTATTGGTGTTTTAATCCCTCAAGAAATATTCCCACTAAGAGAGTTTGTGACGATGAGGTACATGCACAGTAAAAAAACTCTTACAAAAAAAAAGAAAACCTCTTAGGACGTGTTTGTTTTTCTAAAAATATTCTTTCTGATTTTGAAAAGGTCATGTGTTTGTTTTATACTTTCTATGAAAAGTTCATAAACGAATATTTCCGCAAAACCTACCATTTTTTTATTAAAGCTTTCATTCATTTGTTAAAACAAGAACTTAATCTTTCAAAATGTTTTTGTCGATCACTATTCAGTATGCATAATATAAATATATTATATTAATATTATTAATATGATATAATGTAATATAATATAATATAATACAATATAATATTACTATAACATAATATAATATTATATATTTATTTTATTAATATAATTTATATTATATAATATATAAATTTTATATATAATATTTATATTATATAATATAATAAATAATATATTTATTATATTATATAAAACACAATATTATATAAAAATATAATATTATATATAATTTATAAATATTATTATATTATATAATATAAATATTATATACATAATATATAAATATTTTATATTATACTATATATAATATAATATAATTTAGTATATAATATATTATAATATAATATAATTTAGTATATTATATAATATAATATATATAATAAATAATAATATAAATATGATGTTATATGTTATATATAATATAAATATATATTAATAAAATACATAAAATATATTATATTATTCTATATATATATATATATTTATAAATTTATATTATATATTTGAAAAAATATCATCTTATTCTCCATTTTTAAATTTACCCAAAAATTAAAAATATTATTTGTACGAAAAAAACCTATATCTTTATTATCTTATAACTCCTGTACTTTTTTACCATAATTTTTTGACCCAAATAAACCCTATCTCAACCCCATCTCTCTCTAAAACTCCATCTCTCTCCTCATCATTCTGCTCTCCCTACCAAAGCTTTCCAGTTTCCTCCCTAAAACTATCAATTTGCTATCTCTCTCCTCATCAATCTGCTCTCCCTACCAAAGCTTTCCAGTTTCCTCCCTAAAAAAAGCAATTTGCTATCTCTCTCAACAAATCTCAATTTGCTCTCTCTCTCTGACTCAATTAATTCCTCACCGTTCCATGCCTTTGCCTACCTTACCTTTCTGTTACCCACAATCTCTTTCTCTCATCTCCCATTCTCTTTTCTCTCTCTTTTCTCTCTCTACACTCTCAAGTCTCAACTCAATCCTCACTCTTATTTTTCCTGTCAATGTGGACTTTCTCTCTCTTCCTTGGGCATCGTAAAGAAGACTCGTAATTACGCCATTGCCGCCTCTATCCAGGCCTGTTTGTGGTGAGAATGTGGCTTTTCCCAGCGATAATGGGGCTTTTTCCTGAGAGAATGAGCCATTTTCTGATAGGTCTTTGACAGAATCTAGCGAATTCGAGGATGAGTTCTATTCACCAGGGGAGTCGCCCAATACTAGTTCCGCCGGATCTAATGGCCGGAAAAAGTTACCGATGAGTTTACTAGAACCACAGAGACAAAGAAGGTGTGACCGGCTGGTATAGCTCTCTTCCCACGAACCAAACTCTTGAAATTCCCCTAATCATCAAAAGAGACAACAGCAACAGGGTGAGGCTAAGTATAATCAAAATGGAGGTTCTTCTTAACCACCACAGGCTCTTCAACCCAAAGATTAACAAACCCAACTCCCAAAAGCACAGCAAAAACCAGGAGCAAAACAAGAATTAAGCATACATAAGTGGCCCCCAAGCAGCCAAAAACCAGCTTCTTCGCAAATAGACCCCCACCTTCAACCACGGCAAAGGGAGCTCTCGAAATGGCTTCGAGCTCCTGGTGAGCGGTCTCTTCAGCCTTGTGTTGGGCCGCATTAGTCGAGTGAAAGCACTCGAGAACTATGGATAAGAAGGCATAGAAAGTGGATGAAATTGCAGAGAAGAAATGGGAAATGAAGTTGAGGTGTATAGAGAGAAGGTCGATGAGCCAATCCACTGGTTTGAGCAAGAGCGGGTCGCTCTCTTGTGGGGGAGGAGAAAGGCAGGTGGGGCTTGTCATGGTCTGAGAATCCATGGAGAGAGAGAGAGAGAGAGAGAGAGAAGAGAGGAATTTGAAATATTGGGGAGGGATTGTTTGGGAGAAGAGTGACACCTGCCCAAGGATTGACACATGGAGGCCTCATATGGTTACACATACATCTACTCTCTATTTACATGGCCATGGTGACCTAGCCTCTGTTCTTCTGCGAAATCAAACTATTTATGCCATGTTTCCATCACTGTGTTTCTCTCTCCTCTTGTGTTAGGGACGGAGATGAGATAATGGTAGGGCACAGCGAGCGCTTGAGGAAAGTTTACACCTCTCTCGCAACCGCGCGCAGCAGGGGACTAGGACTCGATTCGGGTCCGGCATGGGTCCAAAAACTGGATATAGCTTAATGGTATTAGGGTCCTTGGGTTTGGGTTAGGATCCGGGTGGATAGAGGCGGTGATGTGAGAGAGATGGAGTTTTAGAGAGAGATGGATTTAGATTGGGTGTTATTTTAGTGTTTGTTTTGGTCAAAAATTTATAGTAAAAAAAGTTTAAGAGGTTGTAAGATTGAAAATATAGAAAATTTTTATTTATATATATTATATTAAAAATAAAGAATAAAGAGATACTTTTTATATATATTATATTATGTTATATGTTTATGTTTATATGGTTAATATCTATATGTTATACCCATAACTTTTTCAACATTCAAACATGTTATTAAAAACAATACTCAAAGCTTATTTAAACATTTTAGAACAAAACATTCAACTTTTTTTAATATTTAAAAACATTCAACTTTTCAGAAATTTTCTTTCAGAAAACAAACGCACCTGATCCGGGTTTGGTTTTCTCGAAGAAGGGGAACACCCTCTCTCAAACAAGCACAAGGACCCACGTGCTTTTGACGTGCATGTGTGCTGTTTAGGATAGATATAAACCAACAATGAGAGAGATTTTAATCGACAAAGAAGCGTTCAGACGTCTACCTTGCCGTTTGTTATTCGGGGATATGCCCGGGCGGTCACTTTTTTAGAACAATTACGAAGCCCTCTAGCTATCCAGCAGTACGGTTTGGATGCGGATCTTCCTCGAACTCAACACGTCATCTCTGTTATTTATCTCAAAATTGCTATGGGGATTCAAGTAAAAATACTCCTTTCAAATGGGTTTAATTGAGTGGGGTGGTTGACAAATAGAGAACAAAAAAAGAAAGGTGATGGAAGCTCTTTACCACTCGAGTGTTACGACACTTAGTGATCAACGCAATCAAAGAATCATAATTTTATAGAATATTAACTTAACTCGAGTGAACGAGGACAAGAACATCTATATCTCTCGCAACTTAATTCAACTATACGAAGTGGAAGTTAGAACAACATTATAAGAGTTAACAAAAGCAAGTCTCAAGCTGACACGAAGTCAAACACATATAGGATGGAATAAGCTACCAACACAAAGAGGTAGAATTAAGAAAGAGGGGTTAAGGTTATGGGTATGTGTGGCTAAAGGTGAAGCTGATGAGGCAAAGAGACGTGTGATAAGGGGGTGAGTAAGAGGGAGAAGAATAGGATGTGAGGGGCGAGTTGGGTCTGCCCACAAGTGCGGCCCTAGGTCTTGGAACGAGAGGGGGCAACAAAGGAGGGAGAGATGTGGGGGCAAAGAGTCGCGGCCGCTATCCGTTGCGGCACTGGACGTAGATCGAGAGAAGGGAGAAGGGGTGACGAGAGAGATAGGGCCGTGGTCAGGTGCGGCCCAGTGGTATGCGCAACAGGGGGAAAGAAGAGAGGCAGATGAGAGAAGGGAAGGAGCAGAGCCAGGGCCGTTGTCTGGTGCGGACCTGAGCTTCACGTGCAACAAGAACGGGAGTAGGGAGGCAAAGAGAGGAGGGAGACGGGCTGGGGCCGCTGTCTGGTGCGGCCCTGAGCTTCATGTGCAACAGGAAGGGGAGAAGGGAGGCAAAGAGAGAAGGAGAGGAGACAGAGCCGCTGTCTGGTGCGGCCCTGAGCCTAGGTGTAAGAAAGAGGGAGGTAGAGAAATAAAGAAAGAAGAGAGAAAAGCGAGAGGAGAGAGAATAGACTTGGGTTGGGGTGTGTCATGGCCTAAGTGCACCCCCATAAGCCTTCTTGCATGCACGTGAGAGAGAGAGAGTTTAGGTTTGGGTCAAGTTAGGATGTGGTGTATGGACTAGGGATGTAGGCTAGGTTGTAGTGTAGGGTGTAGGGTGTGGTGTATGGTCTAGGGTCTATGATGTAGTGTATGGTCTAGAGACTATGGTGTAAGGGTATTTTCTCTCTCTACCTAAAGTTTTTCTCTCCTCTGAACTTGATCAAGAACTTAGAAGCAAGAGAAAATAATAAGCTAAAACTCACTCTTCATTGCTCAAGTTTCATTAAAAAATGATCAAGCCCTTTTATAAATGACTTAAGCTCATTTATATAGAGCAACCACCGAACAAAGGTGGAATGATCAAAACTAAATCAAATAGTAAAAAACTATATATTAAATAAATTAAAATAAAATCTCGTTTTTAGACCAAATGACCAAAATACCCTTAACTTATTCTGAGCAAATGACAAAACCATCCATATGAGTATTTTGAGTACCAATAAAGGGATGTAATCTCTTCAACCTAGTGGCCATTGTATGTGTTTAATTTTAAAAGAGTTTGTTTAATTTTTGGATAGTCAGATCTAAGTGTTTAAAAGCTAAAATAAAAAATGGTGTGTTTTGTATAAGTTCAAGGCCCTAAACAATCAAACTAGAGCACACGTTAAAATAGTGCCCAAACATGTTGTTTCAGTATAAAAAAATATTTTAATAGCCTGAAAATTTATTTTTATCTCTAATTATAAGATTTTAAAATTGAAAAATAGTGTAGAACGAACATATATATAAATACTTGTAAATCTTAAAAATTGATGATCTAGATAATACATTACAATATGCACTATTTCCAATGCTTGAAATCTATTTTTTCTGAAGTCCATACATATTGAGGTCAGTTGATCAAATTGAGGGTCTTGTAGCATCAAAAGAACCTCTTATAATGAATTTTTTAGGCCCCCCTTAATTTGATTGTTTAGGGCATCACCCATGTATATACAAAAGAGAAAGAACATTCTTATAATGATAATTTTTGTATGTCACACTTATATATTTTTAAGGGTATAGACAATGAGACCATTTACTTTTGATACAAAGAAGTCACAATTAGTTACAACCATCCGCTGTGAAGTTTGATAGCTTGGATGTGTCACAAAGTTCGAAATTTTGTTTTTTTAAAGTTTGAGCTTGGTCAATGGAATAATTGAGGCCACCCAAGCCAATGGTCAAGATTAATGTTTCACCTTGTACCAACAATAAATGGTCTCATTCTATACTTTCCCTATTTTTAAAAACTTAAATAAAGAACACTCGTGATGATTTTTAAGGGGGATACCAAAATTTTGGATAGAGAAAATAATCATGTCTTTTGCCCAAGGGAGTAACTGAACAGTGTGCTCCTACGAGAGCCCACATGATGACATAAGGGTCTAGCCTCAATCGTACTTATTTGTTCCCAATAAGTCACTCTCACGAGGATTGCAGGATCAAAAAGAAGGATTATAAACTTTGTAAGATTTAACTTCTGCAGTAAAAGTGAAAAAGAAAAGGCACGGTTGAAAAAACAAGATAATGATTTTAATTTTTAGATAAGGATGATGTTTATGTAAGGCTTGGGCTTTATGAAAACAAAATTAAGCCTTCCCTCAAATCCTCATTTAAAAATTACTTTCGGCATCGAAAATATCTAAGATGGCTCTAAAATCAATTTCCAGCACTAACGATAACATTTGAAACTTAAAAAAAAAAAGGTGCGGTTTGTATAGAGCATACGCTTCAAACAATCAAATTAGAGCC